GTATAAAGTTCAGAGAGAGAAACCATAACAAACTATAATGTAATAAAACTTGAAATGTGCAATTGTGCAAATATTATAGAAATGTAAATTGTTCCGAATTAAAATCTAAGAAACATCTAAATAAAGCCACACTTTCTGTGAATTACATTATTATTTTTAGGCTTAAAAGATAACATAGCATATTCCAAATTAAATTCTAAGAAACATCTAAATCAAGCCACACTAACTGTGAATTACATTATTATTTTTAGGCTTAAAAGGTAACATAGCTATTCCAAATTAAATCTAAGAATCATTTAAATCAAGCCACACTAACTGTGAATTACATTATTATTTTTAGGCTTAAAAGGTAACATAGCATATTCCAAATTAAAATCTAAGAATCGTCTAAATCAAGCCACACTTCCTGAATGTTGTTATTTGATTGTGGTCATTTACAAGAGCATTTCGTTCAAAGGGTTTCTGTTCTGATCACTGTACAATAGCAACTAGTTTAATTAAGTTCTTTAATCCCAAGCGAATTAAAATTTCACGAAGGATCGAAGGGTACAGATATGTATGTGTGTAGAATTCTCGTAGAATAATTCGATAATAGAATTGCTTAATTATATTTGCATCTGAATTACATTTGTTTACAGGAAACCGAACGTTACTTTTATAAAAAAAAAAAATTAACAAAAATTAAATCATATTAAGATATACTTATTACTCCCTTGTTCTGTATGTTTCTTGTGCGTCGAAAATCACCAAATTTCAATCCCCATTTAAATATTTACATAAATCGGTTATTCTTGAATTTACCATTCATATATATATATATATATATATATTGCTTTATTTTCATGACTCGTTCTAATTTGATATTCATTGAAATAAGCACGTTCAGATATATATTTATCATTGAAAATGTTTCCCTCTTGACTTTCCAATTACTAGTACCTGTTCTTCCTGCTCTCACCAGCGCTTTGATCTTCTGATGACCGAGAGCTTGAAAGCTATGTCCAGTAGCCTAACAATTGAAGGTCGACCGTGGCCAGTAGCCAATCACTTTGCTAGCCACTTCTTCTTGTGTGGAATGTGTCGAAACAGATATACCAAGCCTAAAGTAAGCAGATTGTTATTGTTATTTCTTTTTTACATGTTAGCCATTAAGTTACATTGAAAATAAGTGTTAACGTAACATTTTTAATATGATTATTGAGCCCAAGTAATTTTCTCCCCCCTTCCAAAACACTTCCTCGAAAATGTAAAATATATACATATTTAAAAAACTGACTTTTTTTACCTAGTCTGATCAGAATATTTCATATAATAATAAAATTTTAACTAGCGAACACACATCCATAATATTTCATACTTTTCATACTAAAAAAAATCGTAGTCCAACAAGTATGTTGTACGCAACATTATTTTATTTTTCGCAAATTCGAGTGACCCATGTCGATTTTTCAAGTCTATATTCCAACTCGGCTACTGCTGCCCTCTACCTGATATTTTCTGTACTATATCCTCAATCAAATTCGATGACGAGGAACCCACTTTGAGACTAATAACGCTTGGAGACGGCTTGAATGGGTAATGAAGAAAAACTTTAATATAACTTTAACATAACAGCAAATGTACAACGTTTCGACAAGGTTTTGTCATCATCAGGTGATTTGCAGCTATTCTTAATTTCAGATACGTGACTGATTATGGCGCTGTCAAAGCACGAGAAGGTCGAGTTAATCCTGAGGCCTGGCATAGCCTGGTGGTTAGGGACCTCGACTCGTAATCCGAGGGTCACGGGTTCGAATCCACGTCCCACCAAACGTGCTCGCCCTTTCTGCCGTGGGGGCATTATAATGTGACGATGAATCCCTCTATTCGTTGGTGAAAGAGTAGCTCAAGAGTTGGCGGTGGGTGATGATGATTAGCTAGGGACGGCTAGCGCAGTTAGCCCTCGCGTAGCCTTGCGCGAAGTTCAAACCAATCCTTGTTAATCCAAGGTTGTTTCGAATTACAAGGACAGCATGTGGAATACGTTCTCTAAAATGGTTGCAGACTTTTCGGACACCCCCCCCCCCTGTAGAAACATCTTGCAAGACACAAGTTGCTTAGTTTGTCATTAAGTAAAGTAAATCATTGTTTTTTTAAAGGTTAATGGCATTGTTACCTCATCAGCATTGTTGCCTCATCGCAAAACACTACAATTACTACAGTTTGATATTTACCAGAAAGTTGGGAATCCATGCTTAATAATAATAATAATAACAGTATTAAGCCTATCATTCTCGAGCACTTTGCAAATTAACTTGGCTTCAATTGGTAATAGATGCGACATTCTTTCTGGTACAGTTGGATGTTCATTTATGTATAATACAATTCATTCACACCTTGCCTGTTATACGTCCATGAAAAAAGGTCGACCGTGTTACAACTTAAGTAGTTTTATCTTTCAGGATGACTGGATTACAACTTGTATACAATCTTAGTTGAATCTCGCTGGTCGACCGTGTTACGACGTGCGTAGTTTCATCTTTTAGGATGTTTGGATTACAACATACCTAGTTAAAACTTGCATGTTGGCTTGATTACAACATACGCAGTCTTAGTTGAAACTTGTAGGATGACTGGATTACAACATACGCAGTCTTAGTTTCATCTTTTAGGATGTTTGGATTACAACATACCTAGTTAAAACTTGCATGTTGGCTTGTTTACAACATACACAGTCTTAGTTGAAACTTGCAGGATGACTGGATTACAACATACGCAGTCTTAGTTGAAACTTGTAGGATGACTGGATTACAACATACACGGTCTTAGTTTCATCTTTCAGGATGACTGGATTACAACTTATATACAATCTTAGTTGAATCTCGCTGGTCGACTGTGTTACGACGTGCATAGTTTCATCTTTTAGGATGTTTGGATTACAACATACACGGTCTTAGTTTCATCTTTTAGGATGTTTGGATTACAACATACCTAGTTAAAACTTGCATGTTGGCTTGATTACAGCATACACAGTCTTAGTTGAAACTTGCAGGATGACTATATTAAAGAACACAGCCTTAGCTGGAACATTTTTTTATAACTACCACTTACGAGATGTGTAATACCGTTCACCACCACTAGGGTTCTCACATTGCATCATATTTAGTAAGTTAATATGTTACAACACTCAACGTAAGAAAAACAAAACAAAAACGATCAAATGAATTTGGTAAAGTCGCTAATTTTATCTGTAAAATACACAGGGAACCCCCCCAGTAGTAAAGCTGTTCAAGTCTATGTGGATCCCCACTGCTAATTCTAGGGTTAATAATTTCCACTTTGACCCTACAAAAGTTCCAAAGGGGGCCTAAAAAGGCTGGTACTGACTGCTGTGAGAAAAAAAGTAAAACATAAAGCCTTACCTTCTCTGTTTATCTTATATGGTTACCAATCAATACCATGGTAGCTTTTGAAAGAAAGTCATCTTTGGAAACTTGGGAATGCTGATTCTTGTAATATTATAAAACAAAGAAATTGAGCGAAATAGCTACTTTTTTTTTATGTAAAACACATAGGAATCCCCCTACAGGTGCCCCAGTAATTAATTAATTAAGTGACGATTTGAAACATTGGTGGTATCTTTCTTTGTATAGACTTTTTGGTGTTTGATTCATGCTATTATTAGAGACCTCAGTCGAGCATCCACAAACAAGTTGGTGCGTGAATAATTTTTGTAAGAAAACGTGTTTAGAAAACCGATGAGGTTCATATCCTCCGTTATACAAACCATGATATGGTCTTTCCTAAACTAATTTGTTGGAGACATTTCCAGTCACTCTCCTGATTGGACGAGAAGGAAGTCTGTACAACATCTTATAAAAGTTAAGTGCAAAGGATATTAACTTCTCTGAAGTCGTATATATTTATAGCATTTATTCTACACTTCAGTTTTTCGATTATCGGTTCCTTTTTTTTTTTTTAACCAATGTAACCATTTAAAAATAGATTGACGTCAAGTTTTCTTTTTCTAAGTTTTAAGTTCATCGGACTTATTAACATATTTCAAGTGTTAGCGTAAAACTCTTGGAAATAACTAGCTAAATATAAACGCATTACAGTATATTATTGCTGGAGCTTGCGCGACATCCACTGGGGACCAGAGTTCACTTGCTATTAGGTATATACATGGTTGAACTTTGTTTCTGCCTAGGATAAAAGAAGAAGAAGAAAAAAAAAGAACAAACGAGCACGAGTTTGATTACGGCTATCTTCTCGCTTAACTGACTTCTTTGTCTTTTCTTTTGATAAGAGTGGATTATTTAGTTTACTTTTGATTCGGTAACTTCACACCATACCACAACTGTGCGGATACAAGATGTAAAAAAAAAAGGTTGATTATTCAGCGCACGTTATTGCGCAGCTCTTGTGAAACCATGACAGCAGTGAGGGAAGCGTTTAAAGTAACGGGCCGTTACAGATTTTCCAACAGCTGTGTAACAGATTGTAAAAAGTAAGTTTTGTACATTCGTTGTGTCATACGCTGTCATTAATGCTTCCGATGTCTAGAAGCTTTCAAAGTTTAAAAGTTCGTGATACTATCCAATGAAATTGAACCATTGTTCCTACGGGTCTCTGGCATATTGTAAAGTTGGATAAGTTCCTAATACAATGCAGTAACTTTTATACGTTTTGTTACTACTACCGGTGTAGCAGAAAGTAAAGTGGATATTCTTAATACTTTACTTAATTCTGTCAATGATTTTAAACCTTTGTTGCTTCTGGTTTGTAGCAGGTTTTAAGCGTTAGGTAAGTTAATAATACTATAGAATTTTCTTAAGACTTGCTTTGTTGCTTCTGGTTTGTAACAGATTTTAAGAGTTGGGTAATCTCATAACATACTACAATAACTAAACGTTCCATTGTTACTACCAGTGTCTCTCAGATTGTACATCTTTAGTAAGTTCGTAATACAAGTAACAATGGAACGTTTAGTTATGTATTTAGTTATTGTATTACAAACTTACTTAATACAATCTGAGAGACACTGGTATATTTCGAACTTACTAAAGATGTACAGTCTGAGAGACACTGATAGTAACAATGAAACACATCTTTAGTAAGTTCGTAA